GAAAAGTTGGGTATTAAATTATTTTAGAGTGAAAAAGCTAAAAACGATTGTTGTTCTTTTCACTAAAAACTCTTAAAAATATAATCCCATTTAAAAGTTTATTGTAAGGAACAGTAAATCAAAGCGTGACAACACGTAAACAATATTCATACTTACAGAGTGTTGCCAATATGGCTGTAGTTAAGATTTAATGTTACTTACGAAATTTTACTTTACAATTACATTGTGTTATGGGAGATGATATACCACATTTGCTCATGTAATGAATATATTTTCATACATTTAAAAGCATAAAATCCTGCTTTAGCACACTGACTTCAACGCTTTCACTGCTTCTGACATGTCTCCTCACACAAATCACTGTCTTTGTGTGATTCAAACATGTAGCAATCACACAAAGGTACAACATATGCCATCTATGAGATTTCTCTGTGGTAAAGTTACCGAGTGCCACACAGTAAAATATGTATAAAATATATGAGGGAATTTTACGCTTTTTATATTGCATGGATTTTTTTTAGCAAAGAGTGAGAAACAGAGTAAGAAATGTGAAAGCCATATTTATAATGATTCTATTAAGTTGAAGAGGAGAAAAGAAACAATCATCAATTTTGGAGAATAACTCTATTGCAATTCCACGTATCACAGGATGTTTAGTCTTATAGAAATCATAAGCTATCAGTTGCAGTCATTAATGAAGTTAATAAGGAACCTACACAAAAAACGACTACACCCTGCTTTCTCTTTCGAGGTCAAATTGGATATGGTAAAGATGAGGTATGATCCCCATGTCCCTGCTCATTTTAAACCATGTCACAATGGGTAAGAGCCAGGATAGCTCAGGTAGTATAGTGACTGGACAACCAAGCAATGGGAGTCTGATTTCCAGCATGACAAAGAGATTTTCCTGATCGCCACAGCATCCAGACTAGCTCAGGGGGCCACCCACCCTCCTACACAATGGGTAGTGTGGGGGGGGGGCATCTTTATCCAGGTACACAGATTGAGCTGTAAGCTGACCGCTCAGGTCTGCCCAGTGCTATGATTAAGAATGTGTGGAGCTCTATATCCATTCACCCACACGCCATCATGGCACAGTGCTTAATGAGAACAGAGTAATTTAGCCTTTTTTAGCTGACAATGGGTTTAGATCGGTTGTTGCTAAACTATGGTTCATACATTTCTCGCAGCAAGCAAAATACTAGAGGTTTCGATTAAAAGTGAATGGTGATAGCTTCTGTGCTTGATTTATATTATTTAAAAATATTGTTATCGACTGATGAGGATATTCAGTGTTGAGGTGGGAGAATGGTTACTTATGATAAAAGACAAAAGGATCAAAAAACAAAATGGTTGCAGCACATTTCAAGGTATTATGGCAGATTTATTTGGAGTAACTGAGAAAAACTTCAGTTAGGAGGACTGTATATATTTTGTGTGCGCCCAAAAAACATTCTAAGGCATTAAAATGACGTTCTTCTTGGATGTGACGCTGTGTACTTTGGTTAGGTATCAATATTTAAAAAAAACTTGCTTCCTTTAATTTGATGGCAGAACTGACGTGACGTTCAGTGCCCAGAAGATAAATATTCTTCTGTAACACTGCCCCCTAGCCACATCCCAGAAGAGTGTAATATTGATAATCATCACCTCATGAGTATACACTCTCATTCAGTGTAGTATTTCATTTATTACTGGTTGGAATATATACCCAGGTTGAGATGGCTGGAGGATGCACCTGATGTCCATAAAATGAAAGTGAAGGGGGGGGGGGAAAGATGATGAACAGAGAAAAATGGAGGCGAATTGTTCACGAGGCTGAAGGTCACTCCAAGCTGAAGTGCCAAGGGGAAGGAAGGAAGGTTGGTATAAAAAAAAGTAAGTAAAGCTATCCTTGTAACAGGCTGTGGAGGCCCATAGGGTTGTGAGACGTCGAGGCTCCCACACTATCTAGACAATTGGCTCACAGATGGCGGTGAGGTTGTCAGTCTTACGCGCTGGCTGCCCTTTACCCCCAAGAATATTCCTGGTACTCATTTCTGTTAAGAGGCTGAGTCAAACCCAGTGCCATAGTGCGGCTGGAAGGATTAGGTAATGTCCATGGTTTATGCTAACCCGCTTACAGTGTATACACTTTTTCACCTTATTCTTCACTTCCACACTACATGTTTCAGCACTAATGTGCCATCCTCAGGTGTCTTTATGCACGTTAAACTATTGTACTGCATGACATGATGTCATCATTCTAAAATGACTAAAATCTGTATTTGTCATATATGTCGATGAATTCTAAATAATAAAACTTTTCAGGATTCATCCTACGTCACACTCAAACACGTGAATTATGCCAATCCTCTTTTATGTGAGCATTCTTCCTACATGTATTTGTGTATCATGTTCTGTGTTGTGTTTTGCTCCTGTTACTGCATGTGTTGTACTGCTGTCAGAAATCATACTATATAGCGTCAAATTGCCAGATGATTGGTGAATGATGAATTGGAAAGGATGTGGAAGGCAACGGCTACAACTTAATCAGGGTACTATCCCAGCATGTATTGAGGGACAGAGGAAAACCACAAAAAAACTGAAGTCAGGATGGATGGTGTCCCAGCTGGGATTCAAACCGAGCACCTCTCAAAAAGTCTACAGCATCACCATTATGCCAACCCATTCAGTTACTCAGTGTCATGTGTAAGAACTGCTTGGGAAATACAACTATAGATGGTCACACACATCTTTTAATTTTTCAAAGATCCTAGATACTGAGTGGTCAAGGAACAACGTGAGTATTTAATATTCGAAATAATTTGATCATAAACTGTGTAGAGGCATTACTTGAGCAAACACAGTAGCTAATGGTCACTGTTTGTTAAGCACCTCATCATATGTACTATTTATTTATGTGTTCTATTAGAAAACTTGTCATTCCTAAACAACAAACTTATCTTGGGCCGAATTCTTCAAAGTCCTTACTTAAAACATCTCATTGTAGCAGCAGTGCGGTGGAATGGCTGGCCCGAGGTTGCACCTCGACTGGCTTGAATGTTTACTATGGCTGCCAACACCAGCCAAACACCTCTGCCTTCTCTCTCAGAAATTTTGTTGACGTTTACGTTTCTGGTCCATGGCATCGAGAATAGGCTGACGTTTGGTTTGATATCGCCGGCGTAATTCGTCGATCTCGCGTTCCATTTCGGCGTCTAAGTTAGCCATTCTCTGCTGCAGCTCTTCATAGCTTAGGAACTTCAACTGCAATAAATATGCTAAAATGTTAACGGAAGCTTCAATGCCTGACTCAATCAAACTGCATGAACAATTCCACTTACATATAAAATTCAACAGAAACCACTACAGGCTACCAAAAATCGTCTGCAAACACAAATATGTCAACATATCACAGCCGAGGAAATGCTCATTTAACGAATACAACGATATTATGCGAAGAGTACAAATTACAAAGCTCCTCATTATGCAAACGTTCGAGATAAAACTTACAAATTCAAAGTCGCCATCAACGAAAGCTCTTTGAAATTTGGCCTGGTTCTCGTGGTGGTGCCTCGCTTGGAAGGGCTCTGCTGTCGGAGGATGGTGGAGCGGACTCCCTCCACCTGCACCTGAGATCTGGTTCAATTGTCGCTGCAGATGATTCTGGAATCTTTGCCTCTCCTCCGATGACAACTGTGGTGACTGCTGAGGTGTTGCGGCTTTGTGCTGGGGATGCACTGAATTAGCATTGTGTTGTGATGGTGACATGTTGGCATTTGGCGACGCATTGGAATGGGCATTAGTGTGTACATCTCCACCTGACAGTCTTTGGGAGGGGGACACCTGAGGCTGGCCATTGCCCTGAACAAAAGAGTACAATCATGTACAATGTGTGGTTTTCACAGTGATTACTACAAAGTGCTATGTCCCGGTATGTGATGCTGTGTGGCCTCCTTGCTGTTTCCTTTATTGTTGGTCTGGTTTAGTCGTGACCTTGAAAACAAAGACAGTACATAACCTTAAAAAATCTGATAAACTTTTACTAAACTAACAAACTCCAAGCAGCTGAGTTCTTCTTAATAAACACTGCTCTTCAAATAAGTGAAATACTTTTTTAAACATCATTTGGTTTTGTAAAATTCTCTTCATCACTGTACTGGTTCAAGGTCTGATTTACGTACCTCCGTTCGTTACATTCAGTAAAAAATTTGAAAAATTACAAAGAGAAACCACTGTTATAAACTTTAGTAGCCTCTGACAGACATACAGTTATGTTGGTAAATGTCAGTTACATGAAACATATTTAATATACTCAACACTACATACTTTTCAGTATGGTCTTATGGGTTGTAATGCTGTCTAGTCTGCACAGAGCCTGAAATTTCAGAGGAACATAGGCCATGCCATAGCTCAAGCAGTTAGTCGCTGGTTTCCCACCGTGGCAACCTGGGTTCGAGCCTGGGTCTCGTCAAGTGGGATTTGTGGTGGACAAAGTGGCACTGGGGCAGGTTTTCTCCGAGTACTTTGGCTTCCCCTGCCATTCTTCATTCCACCAAATTCTCCATAATCATAATCACCTGGGGCAGGTACAATAGCCCAATCAGTGGGTGACTTGCCAAGTGGACCCAGTTGGACTCCATTCCCCACTACGCGAATTAATTAAGAGGAACATATCGCCTCTGTCATCAGCTGTGCTTGCTGCCTGCTTCTGCTTGTTTCCTACTTGGCAAACTCTTCAACTCTGAAGACAAGAGGTGACAGGTTCCTCCAGAACATTGGGCTCACTCGAAACTACATGGAAATGCAACCCAGGAGAGGGCACTCTTCATGCTTACTGCAGTGAGAACATCAAATCCTACTCACTTTAATGTTTTCAGCTTCCTTCTTGTCAAAGTGATCAAGAAACAATGGACGATACTTCTTCCCAGATTCTCCAGGACCTGTGTCATGCCCTGAAAATATGCAATAGAAGAAATTACGGCAATAACTTTCTCTCACATGCATCAATCCATACAGTGAGACTAACAACAAACACAAATTAATATCTCACAATTCAGTGATCCATTTCTGTGCATAATTTCCACTAGCGGAGATTCTGGGCATTTTAATTCTATCGGCCACAACCTAAAAGTTTCAAAATCCTGATATGTTTTTAACTGTCTAATTAATAATGCTACCAGTAACTGGGACATGTGGTAGTGTAGTTGGTCGAGGCACTATGCTACAAGCTGGAAGGTTGCAGGTTTGATTCCATAAGAGGTCACTGAATTTTTCAATTGACCTAATCCTTCCAGCCTCATTGTGACCCTGGGGTCAACTCAGCCTCTAACAGAAATGAGTATCAGGAATCTTCCTGGGGGTAAAGGGCGTCCGGCACGTAAGGCTGACAGCTTCACCACCATATGTGAGCTGGCTGTCTAGAAAATGTGGGAGCCTCGATGTCTCACAACCTTATGGGCTCCCACGGCCCCATGTAGTTTTATCAGTAACTAAGACTATACAGCATGGGTGGCCAAACTTACTGAACGTCTGAGCTGTGCATCGAAATTTCAGAAGTCTGTGAGCAGTAGACAGACGCAGACTGCAGAGATACATGCTCTTAAAACAGCATATTTTTATCATCATAATCCATTTGTAGAATGTGGCATTGCTGTCAGCCATACTAATGGTTCAAAACAGCTGCAAGCAGGGAGCGAGAAAACATTCTGACCACATCTGCCACATGGCCCCATGAATGACTGGAATACAGTTGAAAGTGAATCTGAGGTCATGGCATAATTCAAGTTATTATCCTGGTGTTTGCCTGAATGGACTGATGAAAATCACAGAAACATACAGGCAGAATAGTCTGTATTCCAGCTGAGGTGTGAACTGGAGACCTCCTGAATACACGTCAGGTCAGTCACCACTTCAACCAAAATTTGCCTGGTATTTATAATCGTTCACAGTCAAAGTCATATTGCGACTGGCGATCAGTCAGTCAGTAAGTCTTGGTATCGAGCAACCTCCTAGGGCTCATGACCAGATATTTATTGCTACTCGACTGTTACGGTCTTGTTTCTGTGGGGTGGCCTCTCTGACAAGAGAATGGGTCTGTCTTTTGTATATGCTGCTGGTCCTTGCCAGCGCAGTGTTTCTCGGGTCCTAGTCCCTTGGGACTTTCAACCATATTTTACTGTCTCTCAAATGAGACTTCCCTTTTCGTCGCCTCCTATGACTTGCAGGGTCACGGTGGAGGTATTCGACCCCGCCTCCACACGGGGTAGTGAATCGTTCATATATAAAAATGTTTTATATATGAGTTGTAGGTTACGCTTATGACCTACTTCCATACAAAAATTTCATATGCCTGGTTTCAATGATTCATTACTTAACATCATAAATACAAAAACTGAACACAGATCATGTGTGGCTGCCTCACTTTTTACACCCCAAAAAGTAAGATGTGCAAGTATTTTGATCCATGGGACTCCTTTCCACCACCTCAACTTACTTTTCATTGTAGGTTCCTCTTCCGTGTCACTGTTAATCACCATGGTGCCAAGGTCAGACTGTAGCTCAAGCATTGTTCCGGCTTCACTGTTGGCCACCAAGGTACCAGTATCGTTTGGCAGCACGGTACCATCAACAAGATCACGTGACGGTACCAAGGTCCCTGAGTCTTGAGGATACTGTACCATAGTTTTATTGTTTACGACATCATCTTCGTCCTGCAATGTGCAACATCCAACTCAATGACAAATGAAACACAACACAATGTCCTGTTAAATGTTAAAGCATTGAGGCACCCCCCCCCCTCCACTCAAGTGCTCCTCACCCTTTTCACTTGCATCTTACAACTCATTATTAGGTGATGTGACCTGTTTCTGACCCAGAATGCATTGGTGCTGGTGGGGGAGGGGATGCCAGGATGCCAACCTAGACTTTTTCAACAATAAATCTGAGAAAATAACAAAATATAAATAACAAGAATTACAAGGCCCTGGGGTTTACTCAGCCTCTAACAGAAATGAGTACCAGGAATTAATTAAATAATTTTCCTGGGGAGTAAAGGGCAGCCGGCACGCAAGGCTGACCATCTTTGAGCCGATTGTCTAGATAATGTGGGACACTTAATGTCTCACAACCCTGTGGGCCTTCGTGGCCTGTTACAGGGATAGCTTTGCTTTTTTTATAAGTACTTTGTTAATTATTTTTGTATTGTGAATACTAGAAGAACAATAACCATAAGGGCTTAAACTTTATGGCCGCATGCTCTTGGAAAAAGAAAACTTGTTGCCCCAAATGAGATGATGATGGAGAAAGAGGAGGAGAAGAGGGAAAAGTAGTAATAATAGCAGACGTGAAGTAATGTTAGAAGAAACGGGAAATAAAAAACAGGATGAGAAGGAAATGTAGGAGAAAAACAGAGACAAAAAATATAAGACAAAATGTAAGATGGTGAACAGAAATTAAGACAACAAGAAAGAGGATGAAGGAGACGATGTACAGGAGAATGAGATTAAGAAATGGGGGAAAAAGATGAAGTAGAAACAGAAGATAAGAACATAACAAGAGTCTGAACAAGTTAATGATGGCATTACAATGGCAAAGATTACTGACACTGCTAGAATGATTTAAAGATCATTTGTAGAAACAAGATCCAAAGCGTACCGTAGAATTTGTCTGAAACAAATCCACAAGCTTACACTTTCAGTTTTGTTTTTACAGACAAACTACTATGGTTGACGATACTACTGTGGTGCAACATGGTGGTAAAATTTCCTCTGGCAACCCATCAGTAGAGAAATACTAAATAATCAACCAAAATAAAACATGCAGAAGTCTACATAAGTGACACTGACCTCACATAGTCTATCCCATGGTCTCCTCTGCAAAGAACCAACATCAGTACCACATTATAAACCCTGACACAAGTTCAAGCAGTAAGGTAACATTAAACTTCAAAGACAATTATATAATTTTAGCATTATATCAATCGTACATGTTTTATTAAAATAATTATATAAGAACAATATACTTCTGAAGCAGTATGGTCTTCTGGGTTGTAATACATTGAAATATGGAGAAAAAACCAAATGTTTCAGAGGAATATACTACCTCCATCTTCGGGGCTGAAGAGTAAGCCATGCAACAAACTAGCAGAAGCAGGCAGCAATCAGTATGTTACTCCAAAACGCCAGACTGAACTATATACAGCATTACAACCCAGAACACCACCTTCTTCAGGGTCACTGGTGTGAGAATTACAAATCCAGCAATACAGTCATGTTAGCAGAAACACGATTACAGAGAGGCATTAGTGACAAGCTTGTGCTTACAATGCAGAAGAGATTTTGAGTAACTGAATTCTCTGTCCGTGAATTAATTACTATTTTTATGACCTCATGTCACACACTCAGTGAGCTGCATCCCACAGGAGTAATGGATGTTGTTTACTTTTTAAGTTGGATTTTAACCTACCTGTATCGGGGGGGGGACATTTAAATACTGGTCCCCTAACCAAATGCGGAAGGAGTTTCCACTGGGAATTTAAACTCAGACATGCAAAATAATAAAGGCCTCACGACTACAAATACCTCTTATTTCCTTGTCAGAAGACTCAAAATTACGTCTCATGACAAAGCAAATCGCTCATTCTGAATATCTTCAAAATTCACATTTCAGAAATGCTGACTAGCCAACGCCACATCTACTAACAGATGATCTATCACTGATATTTCTAAGACCATTTACACATACAAAAATTTATAAATCTGGTCGATACACATACCAGCTGATAGTTTCAACCTTTATACTGAGGAATACACAAGCAGAGATCATGTGGTTCAAGCATTATTCACAAGAAGCACAAAACGTGTGCTTCAGTGTGGAGCAAATGGCACCACACCGACGGATTAATGATGCTATTAGCATCGAAATTATATAGCACCAGATGATGGGATGACCAATTAATGACGATGAATTGGAAACGATATGAAAGCGGGCAGTCATGATCCTAGCATCTGACTGGAGGGACAAGAAAACAATGATAAGTCAGCCAGGATAGCAGGCATCCCAGCAGAGATTCAAACTGAGCACATCCTGAATACAGGTTGAGAGCATTACTGCTGGACCAGTTCTTATTCTCTTTGGCAAGCTTTACTCACCGAGTCCTCAGCATGGTTCTGTTTGGCACCTACTGCTGCCGAGGTGGCTGCGTTATTGCGGTAACTCTGGTTCTCCCGAATCTCGCGTGCTTCAGCGATCATCTGCCCCAGGATATTTGGTTGCTTTGCATTACCTGCACGATAGATAAAAATAACATAAACTGATCTGAAAACAGTCCAGGGTCTGACTCCCAGCAGGGACTTGATCACTCTACTTATGTTCTGCAAGGACCACAAATTATGAAGCTCCTCATTATGCCATTTTCACCTTAATATAGATGTAAAGGAAATTAAGTAAAGGCATCCCTGTAACAGGCCGTGGAGGCCCACAGGGGTTGTGAGATGTTGAGATTCCCATATTTTCTAGACAATCGGCTCATAGACGGTGGCAAGGTTGTCAGTCCTACATGCCGACCGCCCTTTGCCCCCAAGAATATTCCTGGTACTCATTTCTGTTAGAGGCTGAGTCAACCCCAGGGCCATAGTGCGGCTGTAAGGATTAGGTCAATTAAAAAAATCCAATGATCTCATCAGGACTTGAACCCACGACCTTCCAGCTTGTAGCATAATGCCTCAATCAATTATGCTACTGTGTGGCCCCCCTTAATATAGAAACAGAAGCTACTTCTGTGGTTTTAATGAACATGGATGATAGACAAAATCCAAAATAGTAATTTTAAACATGGATATTATTTAACCAGTCACAGTGAACAGAACTATTTAACTTTTTCATGGATATTTCTATTCACCAGTACATACAGACTGCTTTGCATCTGGTCCAGTGGGTAAAAGGTAAAGGTATCCCTGTAACTAGCCATGGCCCATGAAGTTGTGAGACTGAGGCTCCCACATCTTCTAGACAGTAAGCTCAAAGGAGGCAGTGAGGTCAGCCTTACATGCCAGCTGCCCTTTACTCCCCCAGGAAGATTCCTGGTATTCATTTCTGTTAGAAGCTGAGTCAACCCCAGAACCATAGTGCAGCTAGAAGGATTAGGTAAATTAAAAAAACATCCACCTCATCGGGACTGGAACCCACAACCTTCAGGCTTGTAGCATAGTGACTCAACCAACTATGCTACCGCAGGTCCAGTGGGTACCAAGGGCAGTTTTGCCTGAGACACAGCACCTAGAGTTGGCTGGTCTAGGTCACTGCATTCTGTGGTCTTCACTATCTCACCTATAAATTCATGATGAAGGAGTTGTGTGGCTGTTGCTCTCTCCTCAGGATTCTTGACTAAACACTGACTAACGAAGTCAATGAATTCGGGCGACCACTGGTCAGGCTCTCGAAACGAAGGCGGAGGTTTTGTGGGGATCATGAAGATGGCCCTCATTGGGTGGATATCACCATATGGTGGTTTGCCTTCAGCCATTTCTAGAGCTGTGATACCAAGGCTCCAGATGTCCGCTACGCAGTCATACCCGATCTCCTGGATAACTTCTGGTGCCATCCAGAAGGGTGTTCCTATGACTGTGTTCCTCTTGGCCATTGTATCCTGTGACATATGTAGAACACATGTTCTTGATAACCGAACTTCCAGTTTATTAATCTGCCATACATTCAGTTTTCTAGGCTGTTTTCAACACTATCAGAATCTAAAATATAGAGAATCACGTGGTCAGCTGATAAATGAATGATGAACTGAAAGGACTCAAAAGGAAATGGTCATTTCTTAACCACGGTTCCATCCTGGAATCTGCCTGCAGGGACTGCTGAAAACCACAAGCAGCAAACAGTTATCAAATATTTCTGTCAGGGTAAGAACAAATAACATGAGAAACATACACTTTCCAATATTGTGATTGGTGTATCGAGTAAATACAGTGGTGCGGGGGAACATGTGCCAGCATTCCACTTACCGTGAGCTGCCCGGCAACACCGAAGTCTGCCAGCTTCGCGTGACCCTCAGTGTTGAGCAGGATGTTGCCAGCCTTAATGTCGCGGTGGATCTTCCTCCGCAGGTGCAGGTACTCGAGTCCCTTCAGTGTGTCACATAGTATTGTTGCAATCTCGTCTTCTGTTAACGTCTTCTTGCGCAATCTCATGATGTCGGACACTGAGCCCGCACCACAGTATTCCATAACAATCTGCAACAGCATCGCCAAATTCGTTTTATCCGAGGTTCTCATAAAAATGGCGCTATGAATAATACAGTCTTGTAATGTTGTGTAGCTCAGAAAGAGTTCAATGTCTTGTAGAAATATATCGCTTCCATCTTCAGGATTAAAGAGATGAGCTTCTTCAAACTCTTGCTTGTTTCTGCTAGTTTCTTGATTGGTGTACACTTAAACCCTGAAGATGGAGCTGATGTATTGGTCTGAAATGTCAGACACACTCCACATTACACAGTATTAAAATCCAGAAGCCTATATACTCTTCACACTCAATTTTTTAAAAGCAGATATTTCATCTAAGTCAAAAGAATGAAAAACGGAGAAGAAGCAAAGTGTTGTATTAAGATTACTGTCTTCTGGAACAGACTCAAAGCCAGAGTAACTTCATGACTGGTGATTACCACCAATCAGTTTGTCTTGGTGACAAGCCCCTTGACACTTACGACCAGCAATTTTTATTTTCAACTGAACCCTTGCAGTAATCCTCTCTGACGAGGAAATGGGTCTGTCATTTGTAACTGCTGCTGGCTTTCGCCAGCGTAGTCATTCTCGGGTCTGAGTCCCATGAGACTCACGACCACATTTTACTGTCTCAAATTCTAGACTTCTCCCCTTGAAGGGCCAGGTCCCCATATTTATATCCCCCATGAACAAGGTGGCCTAGTTATACCCCCAGGCACTGGGTTCTCTTTTCGTTGCCTCCTACGACCCGCAGGGCTAGGGTGGAGGTATTCAACCCCACCTCTAGATAAGGCCCTGTAGTCTCACAAATAGTTAGCAATGTTTCATAGCAACCTGCTGTCTCAATCTTCGGGGCACAATAGGTTACATCACAGTTGTAGCTGATAACCACACACAATCCAAACTTTCACCAATGTAATAATCCCCCCTTCCATGGTGATGACAGAGGTAGCAGGTTGTTCCAGGAAGTTGGTAACAATCTACCAGACTATACAGTGTCACATCCCAGCAGACAGTATAACTTTCATGGCCACCACCATGAGAAGAAGGAATTTCACAAAACACATTTTAATGAGTGGTGTCTCAAAATGAACATCTATTCATAACAAGGAAAGACTTTTTGAGGGGATGCACAGTAAACCCTTGCTAATCTGATTACAGTTAATCCAGACTGAAATATGAAAATGTTCTTCACAGTTGAGTACATACTTCAAAAGACACATGTTACTTCGGAACACAGATGAGTCACTTGTCTGTTCAGACAAAAAATGAGACATCTTCTTCAAACCTGCATTATTACGTTCAGTAACAAGTACAGCTTCCGAGTCTTCCATTGATGAATAAATGTGTTGTCTTTTTATAGTTTTTAAATAAAGGCTCTACTGTGATTTTTTTTATTATTTCATCAGCATTACTTCTAAGTTTTTTCATCTTTCAGGGCTATCTTTTTCTTCACAAATCTGGATTATCACTTAACCCAGATGACCTCTTCCACCCCAAATACTCCAGATTAGTGAGTGTTTACTGTATCTCTAAAGAAGTCAGCACAACTGTTATACAAAGTTATATGTAGCAAGAAGAAGCAAGCATTTGAAGAATGTTGTGCAAATTGGTCCTGCCACCCACACACAGCCTTTGAGGTTGCCTTCAGCTGCAAGAGATAAATGTGACACGCCACATGCCAGTCTCAAGACAAGGGAGAGAGTTGCTACATGTGTGAGGTGCATGACAGATGGGGTGGTGTAGAGGGCGTTGATTCACTACAACAACGAAATTCTTTAAAAAATTAAATGCACCAAAACAACATTTTCACTAATACTTATCTGTCAGACATACAGAAGCTTTAGATTATCAAAACAAGAGGTTCTGGGAAGAACTTACTGCCTGTTTCCCTTTGATACAACATGGAAGCATGGAAAATTAAAATGTTTGGGAGGGGACACATACAGACAGAAAGGCAATCTCACAAGCCTTCTAACAAAAATTAGGGGGGGGAGACACAGACAGAGAGACAGACACAAATGGATACACAGACAGAGAGACAGACACAAATGGATACACAGACAGACAGCAAGATGATCTTACAAGCATTTCACTTTGTTCAAAACAAGAAAAGTAGGCTAATTAAACAATATCTTAATCATTCTCGTTAACTGAAAATACAGTGGTTATTAGATTAAAGAAGGCACAACAATCAAATTAAGTAAATGAAGTAAGATTTGAGGTTTTTACGGTGGTGACTATGAAGAATGCCGTCTTCTGGGATGTGGTGCATTGTAGATATTGTGGTAACCGACATTTCACAGGAACGTATCGCCTCCATCTTCAGGGTATAAAAAATCAGCGAGCGAGGAACCAGCGTGAACAGGAAGATGGAAGCGATATGTTCCTCCGAAACGTTGGTTTACACAATATCTACACGGTGCCACATCCCAGAAGACGGCATTCTTAAGAAACTGAAGTTTCTTCATGTAATTAAAACAGAACAGTAGGAATAAGGATTTAAATCCTACCAAAAAACTGTACCTGAATACTTGCACGTTGCTATGACAACCACAACAAAGACAGACCCCCCCCCCCAAATTCTCAAGAGTATGGAGTAAGTTTCATACCTATCTGTTTTCGTATTAGACCCCAGGAAGGACATGTCAAAAACACAAAAGTTACATTTTTAAATCACTTCCTGGGCTGGGATGGTGTGCGAGTCAGTATAAGTTCACCGACGTTTCAGAAGAATGTACTGACCCATTTTCAAGGTTGAAGAGTAAGAGGCAGGAAGCACAGACTCTTCTTGCTGGTTGCTGTCATGTCTTACTCTTCAATCCTCAACGACTGATGGAGTACATTCTACTGAAATGTTTGCGAACATCTAGCAGACTTCGTGGCATCACGTGTCAGTATTCTCCATGTTTATTGCTGTGGGAACCTCAAATCCAACAAAAACCATCGCTTCATCTTTGTTTTACTCGCCTGACATGTCTCTTTTGTAATATAAATTCTTTTTTAAACAGATATACAATTTCTCTGTAGCATTAGCCTCAGTAATAAGAGGGTTAATGATAACCGTACAAACAGAAAAACATACTTAATTTCACTGCGTTACTTTTATTCACTCGACATACCCATAGGTCAGTGTTCTTGAAGTAACTGCCATAGTACTTAACTACCCAAGGACTGTCACACTGTTGCATAATGGAGATCTCCTTGATTATCTCCTGGAGATCTGTATCCACAGGTACCTGCTTGATGGCCAGAACCTGCCCTGACTCCTTATGCAGCGCCTTGTAAACACTGCCATAGGACCTGCAAGAAAACAGAAGATGTCTTTCACACTTAGCTCACCGCTCATCAGATCTGTGCCTCTGAATGTCTGTCTGCCTAATAACACATGAACTAACTGATGAACGTTCATGAAATTTGAAAGTCATGCCAGAAGAGGTCACTACGATCACTAATACAGATATCAAACTTCTGAGGTGGGAGCTACAATGGTGCTACTAAAACGTATATGGCAGAACTCAGATGCAAAGTATATGAAAAATGGGGGTGAGATTTTCATGAGAGTGAAGATTCACGCTACCATCTCTAGTCCAACACACCCTTGCAAGCCATGGTAATTGTCTGGCCTTCTCTTCATTAGAGGATAAATCAGCAAACATGATATCCGCACTACGCTTCAACTTCACGCATATTAAATAGTTAGGACCACAATTATCTATCAACTTTGCACTGAACTACACTAATGATTCCTTCAACCAACAGAAAACTGAGGACGTCGATTCAAATGATAAATATTTTGATCTGTATGCAGAGAATGCCCGGTTCGAATCTTGGCCTCAACACCATTTATCATGACTGAGAGTCCATTCTTTTGTCGGTCCCTCCACATAAATTCCCAGCTGGTGCTTCAAGCTAGGCCATAACTGCTTCCTTCAAATTCATTATTCACTCATCACTGTACCACCTGACACTACATAGTCTGAGCTCCTGGCAGCGACATTAAATAAATCAAAGTTAGAGATACTTTATGACCGGCGGTTTACCGCCAATCAGTTCATCTTTGAGACTCATGACCAGCGAATTTTTCTTCAACTGAACCCTTGTGGTCACAGACCTCATGTAACATCCTCTCTGATGACAGGATGGGTCTGTCGTTTACAATTGCTGGTGGCCCTCGCCAGCGCGGTTATTCTCGGGTCGGAGTTCCGCGGGGCTCATTACAATATTTTACTGTCTCAGATTCGAGACTCCGCCAACCTGGAGGGCCAGAACCCCGTATTTATATCCCCCAGGAACTGGTTCGCCCGGTTATACCCCCTTACACTGGGTTCCCTTTTCGCCGCCTCCTACGACTCGCAGGGCCACGTTGGAGGTATTTGAACCCGCCTCCACACGGGCTTCAATAAATTATATACGTTTTGTAAGCGTCAGATTTATCGTTGCCATTGAGCAATTTCAAAGTACCGTAGCAACGAACTGCTCAGCGTTGAGCCTTTTGTTTAAGTGCATCGTGTCTATTTTGCGAGTACTGCAAATATTTTGATGTGGATGGTTTGACGATATTACATTTGTGTGTGCTATTCGTGGGAGATAGCGTTGAACGTCGAACCCGACATATCATTCGATAACATGTCTGAATGGAAAGGAATATGGCAGAAAATGATGAGATGCCCGTTGAATCTTCAACGGGCGCTACACTAGTAGGCAAATAAAGAAACAACTACATAACAGGACACTGTAACAACACTATGGGTGTTCTATTTGTATCTTTCTCGTCACTGCGACGTCCTCTGTTTCCATTCCTGTTTCCGATATGCTGCGCACTACACAGTTCTCCTTATCAGTGTCCTCACATCCTTCCTGCATCACTGCTAACGACCGTCAGCCTTCACACGTGGCACGTCGCCTCAAATTCGCCTGCTTGCTTGTTTTCTACGCTTCCCTTCCTTTTCCACCCTAAAGATGGAGGCAGTACGTTACTCCGAAACATCGGTGAACTACGGGTGCACTACGCTGTAGAGTAGTTGGTTGAGGCACTATGCTACAAGATGGAGGGTCGCGGGTTCGAGTTCTGATGAGGTAGATTTTTATTTTCAATTTACATAATCATTCCAGCCGCACTATGGCCCTGAGGTCGACTCAGTCTCTTAACAGAAATGAGTACCAGGAATCTTCCTGGGGGTTAAGGACGGCCGGCTCGTAGGGCTGACAACCTCACCGCCATCTATGAGCCGACTGTCTAGATAATGTGGGATCCTCAACGTCTCAGAACCCTATGGGCCTCCACGGCCTGTTACAGGGTACCTTTACCTTTACGATGTGTATAATTTGTATTTACTCTTGTACTATTTTTAAGTACCTCCTATACATTCTTACGTTAGAAGCCATAAGACGACAGGAGCATTGAAAGAAAGAGGTGCAAACGTGCACATCGATGTATATATGTTCCGACAGACAGCACACGAAGAGCCCGAGATCTTGCTGTCATGTTACAAGCATAAGTCAGACTCACCCTTCTCCAAGTTTACAGATGATGTCAAACACCTCCTCGGGCTGCCGAGTTAAGCTCTCCTCCGAGAGTTTCTTCAGCTCGCTGGAAAAAAAAGTCACATAATAAGTAACGTATTTTGAATTTGAGGTTTTCACAGCGGTCACTATGAAGAGAGCTATTTTATGGGATATGATGCCATGTATTTATTCGTTGATTAGGGCCGCACCATATCTCAAGCGGTTACTCGCTGGCTTCCCACCGCGCCGACCCGGGTTCGATCAAGTGGGTTTTGTGGCGGACAAAGTGGCGCTGGGGCAGGTTTTGTCCGAGTACTTCGGTTTCCCCTGCCAATCTTCATTCCACCAATTGCTCCACAGTCACCCTCACCTATCATCTGGGGCTGGTACAATAGTCCGGAACTGGCCGCAGCACAAGGGACTTAGTCCCACCCCACTAGCAATAAAAAATGTGCTGATTGGATGAATTGGACAGGATCTGGAAGGAAGCAGTCCAATATTTTCCTGAGGAGGACTCAGCTAAACCATGAAAAGCTGAAGTTAGCATAGCCGATGTCATGGCCGAGATTCGAACCGACCACCTATCTGATACAAGTCTAAAGCGTTACCTACAGACCAAGCTATTCGATGTGATGTCTCCATCTTCAGAGCTGAAGAGTAAACCACGCAAGTAAGAAGCAACCGGAAGTTGTTTTGGCAATACGATCCTCCTAATTATCCGTTAATTTCTACAGTACTTTTCAAGTAACGCATTTACAACGACAACTCAGCATGAGGCCACGTCGATTATCCACCTCCAGTCTGGTGCTGCAGGGCGGGAAGTTCGACGCCGCACAGCGCGCGATTCTGAAAGCTTTATGAATGAAGCGCAAAAATGTATAAGAGATTCAGTTGCCATAAAGGTACACCGCAAGCCTTTCTGCCTAATTAGGCACTGCACCATGAAGACGTACGGGGGAGTGCATGGCCAGATCTAAATTTTCTTAACCTCGGCATTAGCTAGAGGTAAGTGGTCAGCTTCACGCCCCAACAGTTTTACCCCCGAGGAAAGAACCCCCGGTAGAGATCCGGTCTTGCCATAGTGAAGTGAAAATTGTTGACCCCACCGGGACTCGAACTCCGACACCTCCGTCCTCCAGCCCGTAACCAGTCGCTATACCGACTGAGCTATTCCTGCTCCTTCAAGTCTTGAGTGGGCAACTTTAAAGGTAAAGCTATCGCTGTAATAGGCCGTGGAGGTCCTTAGGGTTGTGAGACTTCGAGACCCCCAACCCTGTGGGCCTCCACGGCCTGTGACAGGGATAGCTTTACCTTTACCTGTATTTTGAATCGAATCTGTCAGGTTGAGAGCACAAATCAACAGCTAAAAGTTTCTGATATAACTGATGGTGCATATCATCTTAAGATGTCCTACTAATGTCATACTTCTCTGTGTTATTAACTGTCGTGAGTAATCGACTGAAACATTTCACGGAATGCTTTCTAGACAGTTTCTTTTTATTCGAACAGATTCACCGCCCTTTCTAAAACGAGAGGAATGCATCAGCAAATATTTCGGGGAACGGAGGGACGTTTCGAGTGCCGCAAAAAGAGGCCGGTAGGAGCGAACTCAGCCCGCCTGGCGCCAATTGTACAGCCCTGCAGTAGACACTGCTGAGGAATATATAGGACAATTGGGAGCCCAAGAGAAGATTGAGAATAATAGGCTTGCTTGAGAGCAGCTGAGTGGTCATCGCCAACATCCGCGTCCTCCAATAGACACGACCTATAAGCAATGTAGACAGTCACAATATCCATAACGTTTGTGTCTACAATCTCAATATATGCTGCATGATGTAGGACCCTTCACTGTAGACATTCACTATTTCTAAAACTTCTGTGACCGCCTCTGTGGTCTAGTGGTCAGAGTTCCTGGCTACAGATCCAGAGGTCCCGGGGTCGATTCCCGGCGCTACCTGATATTCTGAGAAGCAGTGGGTCTGAAACGGGGTCCGCTCAGCCTCGTGAGAATAATTGAGCTAATTGATAAATGGAAACGTAGCGGCTCCGGGCTAGAAAACGGAGATTAACGGCCGTGGGGATTCGTTGCGCTGACCACGCGACACCATCTATCCGCTAAAGTTAGCACTAACTTCACCGAAAAGTGGCGGTCGCTCGGTCGGTATAGTTCGCTTGAGAACTAAGGGCCACGGAATGTTTTTGTTTTGTCTACAGTACTCAGCAGATGGTGTGTGGTGTTGGATCCAGCAATGCAGACCAGCGGAATCTCTTAACTTTCGTGTTACTGACCATCCCCTTGATGATGTTTTTTTTTTGTAAAACCCAAACATTCAGTGCAGTAAATATTAATGAACTAAGTTCCTGGTACTATATTCGCTTGTTTGGCGTAAGTATACTTACAAATTCTGCCAAAATTAACAACTTTTTGTTATTTGTTCGTGAATATATTTTTTTTTATTGCTAGTGGGGTGGGACTAAGTCCCTTGTACTGCGGCCACTTCTGGCCTGTTGTACCATTGTTCGTGAATAACTAAGATCTAAATGTATAAATATTAACACAAACCCTTTTTCTTGCTCCTGCTCCTTGAGACTCATCCTTTTGCGACGTCTATCCTTACATGTATCGCAATGTATTGTAGGTACCATGGAGGCAAAGACCCCTCCATTCTTAAACACTAATGTGTCCATATCTTGATAATGTTCACTAAATCCAACACATTTTCACTCATGTTTTAAACACTGAAAGTCACATTTAAAGATAAATAACATTTTACGTATAAAAATCCACAAATTTATTTATTCCAACAGCTAATTTATAACAGTCGCTATTTTTATTAAGACTCGTGAAGCTGTAGTCCCAGAACCGTCTGTTGCGCCACACAACCGAATGGAGTTCAATGGTGTTATCGCTGCGATGTTTCAGATTAGAGAAACGTACGATACACAGTCACTTATGCCTCAACAACTGCTCACATTCCTGTCTTACTCACATCCTTAAAAAAGGACACTAAAGTCCATTTATATACTGAAACGTTCATATAATTTTCCACACTGCTTCAACACACATTTCTGCAGAATCTGAGGGTATCACGATAGAGGTGATTATCTGGGATATCACACCGTGTAGAACTCTTCTTACTACCTACTTTAACTTGGTTTCTTGTTATTCGACCCTGAAGATGGAGGCAATATGTTCCTCCGAAACGTTGGTTGAATTTAAACGGGTTACACGGCGTTATATCCCAGAAGGTAGTACTATTCACATACCTTTTTGTTCATGCGATCGACTGACTGATCTTAGACATATTTAACAGCGCTCTTCCAACTGCACAAATTCATAAAATGATTGGCAGTAGCTTGTTTCACGACACTATTCCAGCAACACTGGCCAAAAGTAGATTTGAAACTGATACTCAGATAGGATGTTCTCACAGAGGTGAATTTGTGACGCAATGTAGTCTGGTGGAAAGGTACCAACATTTCGGAGGACCATACTGCCTCCATCTTCAGGATTCACATCCAAAAAAGCCTATAATTTTCAGATACATCCCCAATACATATTCTGAGCATTACTTTTGGTAACTACTCAGTATGCGTGAATGTATGTATTTAGGGTCTATGAGTGTGTTCTTTTGGATTATTACGCGTTCTTTACATAGTAAAAAAGAACGCTTAATGTGGAGGTCATGTCTGCCTGCCTGTGACTTACGTCGGTACCTAAACCATACCATGGATTTCATTTAAAAATATTTGCGAAGAACAGCCTCTGTGGTCTAGTGGTCAGAGTTCCTGGCTACAGATCCAGAGGTCCCCGGCTCGATTCCAGGCGCTAAAATATTTTCTGAGAAGTAGTGGGTCTGGAAGAGGATCAAGTCAAGGATGAGATGGGCAGGGCATGTAGCACGAACGGGAGAGGAAAGGAATGCATATAGGATATTGGTGGGAAAGCCAGAAGGAAAGAACCCCTGGGAAGACCAACGCGTAGGTGGGTGGATAATATTAAAATGGATCTTAGAGAGATAGTATGGGGTGGTATGGACTGGATTTATGTGGCTCAGGATAGGGACCAGTGGAGGGCTCTTGTGAATATGGTAATGAACTTCAGGGTTCCATAAAATGCTGGGAAGTTCTTGAGTAACTGCACAACTGGCGGCTTCTCGAGTTAGTTGATAAGAAACGTGTTCCTGCACTTCTTCCTACCAACCCATATCAATACAACTTGAAACGAGATATGACAGTCAATATAATAAGTTAGATATTAAGATTAGGCTGTCTCAAACGCTTCTACAAATGCCATTTTTGCGCAAAACGTAACCCACACAACGAATTACAATCAAATGTCTTACAAGCAAAATTCCGAGACTATGAAATCACGTGGAATAATTATATCTTAAGAATTGTCTATTCAGCACTGACCCAAAATATTAAGAATTACTAATTATACGGACGAAAAAACGTCGGAAGACCAAAACAACGATGGGCGAATGGTCTCTGAGACGAAACCGGCTAACAGAAACCTACCTTGAAGTGCATGATGATTATGATGGCCTAACCTACTAGCAAAAACAAACTCCGTGGCCTGTAGTCCGCAAGCGAACTATACCGACCGAGAGACCGCCGCTTGTCGGCGAAGTTAGTACCAACTTTAGTGGATAGAGGGTGTTGCGTGGTCAGCGCAACGAATCCCCACGGTCGTTAATTTCGGTTTTCTAGACCGGAGCCGTTATTTCCTTAAAACAACTCCTCAATTATCGTCGCGAGGCTGAGTGGACCCCGTTTCAGACTCACCACTCCTCAGAAAATGTGGTAGAGCCGGGAATCGAACCCGGATCTCTGGATCTTTAGCCAGGAACTCTGACCACCAGACCATAAAGGCGGTTTCCTAACCCACTAGCATAATGTTTAATGTCGTCTAATTAAAACACCTCACAATCACGGATTTTGATGTTTAAAAAAATAAATGCCTCTACATTATTATCTTTAAGTATCGTACATGTGAACTACATCTATCATCCAATAAGTGAACTATTTCGAGTTTGATCCGGTCACGTTTCACAGTCGCCAAAAGCAGCTAAACGCACTTGAAAGGTCGAACGTCATGCTGACGTCAAACTACGCTAATAGGTAAACGGAGAATGCAGAAATGAATTATCACTGGAGGGCACATATTTTTCAAATTGGTTTTTGCTATTTTAGAACAAGTCAGTGGTGCTGATGATCAAGACTTAAACGCACAGTTATAAATCTAATATATATATGTTAGGTTAACCGTCACACAACAAATATTCTCACTTTTAATGTTTTACAATTCGACTTTTATTCGACGTCAGTTTCAGTAAAAGCAAGACACGAAATGAACTCCATGGACTTTTGGCCACAACGCCGTATAGTTCGGAGAGAACTCAGCTTGACGCTTAGTTCTGGCTTCTAGCTTGGCTTGCTCTTTTACCTTGAACACAGAGACGATATATTACTCCGAAAAGTGTGACAATCTACACGGTGTTACGTCACTCTCCTTAGTTACTTCCGCGAGTACCTCAAACCCCAAAAGACTGAAAATGTAAGATTTGAGGTTTTCATGGAGGTGACTATGAAAGATGTGGCACCGTGTAGATCTTGTGTGAACCGACATTTCGGAGGAACGTATCGCCTCCATCTTCAGGGCAGAAAAATCCGTGAGGGAGGAACCAGCTTAAGCAGGTGGCCTGAAGATGGAGGCGATACGTTCCTCCGAAACGTCGGTTAAAACCAAGAATACACGGCGCCAGATCCCAGAAGACGACTTTCTTGATAGAAATACAATTTGCGCCAAATTTGCAGTACTGAAACTCTCGCATCTCGAACGCGTATGGGCGTTTGTCGACGGGGCATAGCTCCAGCCGCACGTGTTCCCAGTAGTGAAAAGGAAGTTGTGTTGTTATGTATGGGACCGCCTCTGTGGTCTAGTGGTCAGAGCTCCTGGCTACAGATCCAGAGATCCGGGTTCGATTCTCGGCGCTACCAGATTTTCTGAGAAGTAGTGAGTCTGGAACGGGGTCCACTCAGCCTGATGAGGATAATTGAGCTATTTCAATGAAATAGCGGCTCCGGTCTAGAAACCCGAAATTAACGGAGGTGGAAATTCGTTGCGCTGACCACGCGACACCCTCTACCCGCAAAAATTGGCACTAACTTCGCCGACAAACGGCGGTCGCTCGGTCAGTATAGTTCGCTTGCGGACTAACTCCACGGAATTTGTTTGTTGGTTTTGTTATGCGCGGGCGTGGAACTTCGCCTCTTCCAACCCTAACCAGGGACACAATGGCCGACGTAGGAAACGCATAAAGGAACACAGCGTGGACTCTGCAACATGAAAATAGCGTGAGGGAAGAGCGAGCGTTAAGTTCCCGAATACGTCATGCAATAATAGTATGTAAGCCCATGCAGTGCAGTGATTTCGACCAATTAATGGTTGCCTGATGATGGCCTTGTGAGGCCGAAACATGTTGCAACGAATAAACAGAACAATGAGATTTTAATGACATTTAATGAATTTTAAATGTGACTGTAAATTACATTTTAAAATAAAACGTTGTGTTTGTATTACAGATGGATGCAAGTGGATGATTAGGCCGCGCCATAACTCAAGCGGTTAGTCGCCGGCTCTCCACCTCAGTGGCTCATGATCGGGCCCACGTCAGGTCATGTGGGATTTATGACGGAAAAACTGGCACTGGGGCAGGTTTTCTCCGAGTACTTCGGTTTCCCCTGCCAATTCTCATTCCACCGACTGCTCCACACTCATACGAGGCTGGTACAGTAGGCCAGGTAGAGGCCGGCGTACCAAGTGGAATTATGTAAGGTTTGAGGTTTTCACGGCGGCGACTATGAAGAATGCCGTGTTAATACCATATCTACATGGCGCCACATCCCAAAAGACGGCATTCAAGTGGATTTAGTCTCACCCCACCCCAAGAAACTTAAAAAAAAAAAACTAAGAGTAAGTGACTAACAGAAGAAAAACGGACGGCACGTATTTGAGAATCAAGAGGGGTGAAGTGACAGGAGGTCGGAGAAAACTGCATAATGAGGAGCTTCATAACTTGTACTCTTCTCCAAGTGTAATTAGAATGATCAAGTCAAGGTGGATAAGATGGGCAAGGCAAGTAGTATGAATGGTAGAAAACAGGAATGTATACAGCTTTGGTGGGAAAAGAAGGAAAGAGACCACTAGGAAGATCCAGACGCATGCGAGGGGATAATATTAAAATGGATCTTGGAGAAACAGGCTGGGGAAGGACTGGATTCATCTGGCTCAGGTTAGGGACCAGTGATGGGTTCTTGTGAACATAATAATGATCCTTCTGGTTCCATAAAGTGGGGGGTTGTTTAGTAACTAAGCAACTGCTGGCTCCTCAAGGACTGGGTTCCGTGGAGTTCGTTGTGGTTGCCTGTTCAAGTTACGGCGCATCCTCGAGGATGTTGAGACATACAAGAACATGGACTCAGGGCTTCTCTTTTAGTTCCGGCTGTGACTGACCACTCTGCTGCTACCCAGAATAACAGCAACGTACTGGAATTGTTCCAAACAGACCTGGCTCCTTACAGCAAGCGATTTTTCACTGCTGTCATAACAAAAACAGCCTTTACCCTGCATGATCTGAGGCTCTGACACCGGTGGTTATGAATAGGTCTATCTTCTGGGGCATAACGCCCTGTAGTCCGTTGAAAGTCAACGAACGTACGACGCTGTCGGTATCGAGGATATATAGTTTCGGATGATTAACAATAAGTTGTATGAGAAATGGTAGGGGAAACCGAAGAAATCGGGGGGAAAAACTTGCCACAGTCCCATTTTGTCTACCACAAATTTCATATGACATGAGTCAGGATCAAACCCGTGTCGCCGCGATGGAATGTCGGTGGACTCAGAAAAGGTATGGAGGAAGTGGAGGTATAGCTCCACCTTTCTTTATGTCGGGACTAGATGGATGTGGTCAGTTTCACACCTCTGCCGCTCTAACTTTGGGGAAGGAGCCCCGGTACCAATTTGGTAGGAGGCTGGATGGGCCTAAGAACTGGTCTGGAAGGCGTGGAGA